TGGTACCACCCAGTCCCACCGTGGCAGCCAGCAAAGCCCTGGGCAGTGATCTTGACTTATCCCTTGCCAGCTTAGTGGGCAATCTTGGGATTTCTGGCACCACATCGAAGAAGGGAGATCTTCAGTGGAATGCTGGAGAAAAAAAGTTGACTGGGGGAGCCAACTGGCAACCTAAAGTAACACCTGCCACGTGGTCAGCAGGTGTCCCACCAAGTGCACCTTTGCAAGGAGCTGTGCCTCCAAGCAGTTCGGTTCCTCCTGTGTCCGGGGCCCCATCTGTTGGACAGCCTGGAACTGGGTTTGGAATGCCTCCTGCTGGCACAGGCATGCCCATGATGCCTCCACAGCCGGCCATGTTCGTGCAGCCCATGATGAGGCCGCCCTTCGGAGCTGCGGCCGTGCCCGGCACACAGCTTTCTCCAAGCCCTACACCTGCCACTCAGAGTCCCAAGAAGCCTCCAGCAAAGGACCCATTAGCGGATCTTAACATCAAGGATTTCTTGTAAACAATTGAAGCTGCAATTTTTGTGACTGAACAGGAAAAATTAAATCAATTTGGAGACTTCAAATAAGACTGACGCTCAGAGTTCCAAAATGGGCCAGCAGCACCAAGCCCAGTGCTTGCTCATAACTCCTCTTCCAAAACGCGTAGCACAGCCGTGAAAGTGAACGTTAGGAATGTGTACTACCTTAGCTGTTATCCCTGCTCTCAGAATTGTAGTGTATTTGGGTTCCTTGTGTGTTGTATGATGTAACCAATGAATGAATGTTTCTGACACCTTTAGTGCTTTTCTGGACCTTGCCCATGGACAGATGGCACAGATGTTGTATGGTGAGCCATTGGGAAAGACGTGTCTGTGTTTCTGAAGGTTTTGATGTATATATAATTCTTGGACAAACCCTCCACTCTCCCCATCAACTCTCTTTTCTTCTGTATCTCTGTTACAAGCGTAATGTGATAATATTAAGGAAAACACTCTTAAATAAACAGAACTGTTTTTGGTGTGGAGTACAGTTTTCAAATCACAGAAACTTCAACTATTGTGAGAAATGTTTATTTTTGTGGCGCTGTATATGTTAAGAAATTTTATTTTAAAAAATATAAAGGTCAACATCCATAATATTTCTCCTTGAAGCTACCTTATCAAGAATGAAAAATTATGTGGAAAGACTTCCATATTTATCATTGCTATATTAAAATATATATTTTAATTATATTTGACAGGTTTTGCCTCTAAATTGACCTATTTATTCATTCTTGATTAAATGCACTGAAAAGGACAGGGTCCATTTCTGTCATGTCCATGAAAATGAATTAGAAATGTGCTATTTAAGTGACTATGAAACCACCTCAAGATATATCTATAATTTAAAGATTACTAATATTTTTATTTCACTGTGGGTTTTATGTACATCTGTTGATTTAGTATTCCTTTGTATGTTCAATGGACTAGTGTTTTTCATCCTTCAATTGGGCTCCAAGTATGTTTTGTTGTACCATTGTGATTAGGATTTAAACTAATTCAGAGAATTGTATCCTTTACTGTACATACTGTATTCTTTGATTTTTAATTTGTTGTCACACTGTCTGTGCTGATGGCTTGGCTTAAGATTTTGATGCATATATGAGGTCACTGTTGATCAGTGTTGCTAGTGGCTTGGCAGCTCTTCGTAAAAACATTGGGTTGGAAAGGCACTTGCCTATTTTTCAAATCATTTAATAGATGTATGGTACCATTTAAAAGTGGTTGTATCTGAATTTACTGTGGGGATAACATACACTGTAATGGGGGAAAAAAATACCTAACACCAATTTCAAAATGGCTTTTCTTTGTATTTCGGTTTAAAAACCCAGTGCATGTACGCCCTCTGAGATGCAATAAACACCTTGAACAAAGAAAAAAAAAATACATAATAGCTACCAAATAAGTGTGGTAACTATAGTGACATTAACAACAGAATATAATTCAATAATAATATGCAGTCAGTGTCAGGGATTACAGCTCAGTTTCACACTGTCTGCTTGGCAAGCACAAGGTCTTTTTTTTTTTTTTTTTTTTGTAGTTTTCTTCTTCTGTTTTTTTTTTTTTTGTATTTTAGGGAAGGTCTACAGCGTGTTCAGGGTCTCACTACTAGATCAGATTCGTAGTAGTCCACCTGTTTACAGCCTCCTAAGAGCTGGGATTACAGGTGTGCGCCTTCGTGCCCAGTCTCAATTGCCGTCTTAGCATGCCCTGGGGTTGGGACCAGCACGACAGGCCCAGGAAAACACAAGGTCTTGACTTTGATTCCAGGTATTACTACTACTAATAATAATAATATTAATGATACTTAGCTGCAATCAACTATTTAGTAAAAATAATAAAGCTTAATAGTAATGCAAATAAAAATTAGGAGTGGGGAAATTTAAAAATGAAAGAAGTGAAATGTGAAAAATAAAGAAAAGATTAGGAGTAGGAGAGACCATTGAGATAAAGGATCAGTTAGTGACTGAAAGAAAAATTAATACAATTAGAAAAAAACTAACAGAAATAATAAAAGAAAAGAAATATCCAACCCCACACCAATACAGCTAACAACAAAAGAGCAAAGAGTCCAAAAGACTCCTTTTGTGGCTTTTTGTTTGTTTGTTTGTTTGGGGTTTTTTTGGCAGAACCAGGGATTGAACTCAGGCCTTCGTGCTTGCTAGGGAAGCACTTATTCCACTGAGCCATCTCCCCAGCCCTTCCTTCTATGTTTAAATGAGTTGTTTCTTTCCAGGGTCTGCAGTACTGAAACCCACCAGATGTGGGGAAGGAATAGAGAGGTGCTACTGAGTACTACTTGATTTGCACCTATAATCGCTCTGTATGTTTTCGTTTCACTTATGCTTGTAACCACTGGATCCATAAGGACTGACAGAGCTTAGTCACAGAGCCCTTTGTACAGACCACCACAGAAGAGTGAGTCATCAGGAAAAGTGGTCCAGTAAAGAAGGAAATCGTTTTCTGGCACAGGTATTGAGCAGCACCATGTATCTTGAATCCAAAGATACAACCCCAGTCATGGCACCAGAAATGTTACTAAAAAGTTGGTGTCAGACTGGGTTGGGTAGCTCTATGGAGTCTCAGCTTTCTTGGATCTTCTTGCGATTTGTGCTGTGGCTCACAGACAAGACTGAAGCATAATTATTGAGAGTAAGGCATGGAGTCTAAGGTGCCGTTCCGAGTGGGAGGCTGCGGTGCGCGGGCCGAGTCGGCCCGGGACTGGGCCGCCGAGCTGCGCTCGCTCGCGCCACGGCGTTGGCGGACGGATTCGCTTCGCGCGGTGAAGAGGGCCGTGTCTGAGCCGCTGAGAGCTGAGGACCATCCAGACGCGGCGGGGCTGAGCACACGCGGACACCGAGGGCCGGGACAGCACGGACCATGGCGTTGAAGCGGATTAATAAGGAACTTAGTGATTTGGCCCGGGACCCTCCAGCGCAATGTTCTGCAGGCCCAGTTGGGGAGGATATGTTCCATTGGCAAGCTAGAATTATGGGACCTAATGACAGCCCATACCAAGGCGGTGTATTCTTTTTGACAATTCATTTTCCTACAGACTACCCCTTCAAACCACCTAAGGTTGCATTTACAGCAAGAATTTATCATCCAAATATTAACAGTAATGGCAGCATTTGTCTCGATATTCTAAGATCACAGTGCTGTCCTGCTTTAACTATGTCTAAAGTTCTTTTATCCATTTGTTCACTGCTATGTGATCCAAACCCAGATGACCCTCTAGTGCCAGAGATTGCACAGATCTATAAAACAGACAGAGACAAGTACAACAGGTATCTCGAGAATGGACTCAGAAGTATGCCATGTGATGCTACCTTAAAATCAGAATAACCTGCATTATAGCTGGAATAAACTTTAAATTACTGTTCCTTTTTTGATTTTCTTATCCAGCTGCTCCCCTATCAGACCTCATCTTTTTTTAATTTTATTTTTTTGTTTACCTCCCTCCATTCATTCACATGCTCATCTGAGAAGACTTACATTCTTCCAGCTTTGGACAATAACTGCTTTTAGAAACTGTAAAGTAGTTACAAGAGAACAGTTGCCCAAGATTCAGAATTTTTTAAAAAAATGGAGCATGTGTATTATGTGGCCAATGTCTTCACTCTAACTTGGTTATGAGACTAAACCATTCCTCACAGCTCTAACTGCTGAAGAAGTCATCTGAGGGGGGGGGGATGGATGTTCGGTTATCTCGGCAAGAAAGCAGCATTATTCTAGCAGCATCCACACTTGTTAAGCATTCCACTGTTAGAGATTTGAGGTTACGTGATATACTTTATGCTCATAACTGATGTGGCTGGAGAATTGGTATTGAATTTATAGCATCAGCAGAACAGAAAATGTGATGTATTTTATGCATGTCAATAAAGGAATGACCTGTTCTTGTTCTACAAAGAATGGAAATTGGAACTCAAACATCCTTTGTATTCCAAAGTAGGGTCTCAAAACATTTTGTAATTTTCATTTAAATTGTTAGGAGGCTTGGAGCTATTAGTTAATCTGTCTTCCAATACACTGTTTAATATAGCACTGAGCAAATGATGCAAGTTGTCAATGGATGAGTGATCAACTAATAGCTCTGCTAGTAATTGATTTATTTTTCTTCGATAAAGTTGCATAAACAAAAAAAAAAAGAGAGAGAGTAAGGCATGCTACCCTATAAACAATGCTAACCGTTGTAAGGAGGGAACACCCTGAAGAAGAGAATATGGGCAACACCCAAAAAAGGCAACTAGGATGAGTTTCAGCATTGGCTTTTCTTTCGTCTCCTTAGAATTTGTGTAGAGGTCAGGGTGGGCTTCTTTCCAATCAGTGATGAGCCTGTACTCTCCTGTCAAGCAGAATTTTCTTAAATTTTATATGGGCCTTCTTGAAACAAGGATGATAGCCAAAGCCAACTGTGGGGCCCAAAACATAATGCCAATGACAGTATACAAGACTGGGTGTGGTGACGTGTACCTGTAATTCCAGCTCTTGAGAGGCTGTAAACAGGAGGATCACTATGAGTCCGATCTAGTAATGAGACCCTGAACACCCTGTAGCTCCTTCCCTAAAATACAAAAAAGACAGCATACTGACTATAACGTCACCTAAGATCCCTCTCAGTCCTTTAGATTGACTACCCCCATGCCCATGCCAGATGTCTAGGGAATACGACAAAGTCAGAATGATCTTTCTGTCTCCCAGTGCCATGTTCATCCTGTCTGCTGTGAAACTGAGGCCGGTGTGCTTCCTGTACTGACTCACTTGGGTTGTGTTTCTTTGTCAATGAAATAATTTTATGCTTTGTGTGAAAAACCAAAAAATCTGTAGGACACAAGTGACACAGGCAACAAATGACCTGTGTTGCTAAGACAGTGAACTTAATCATTCTTGGGTCTAGGATGCCGTTTAGGCCACCTCAGAGCAATCCTCTGCTCTGTGTTTAACAAAGGGCACAATAAACGTACTGGAGTCTGTGCAAAGACTTAGCAACAACCTCATTTGCTGGCCTACAACCACCAACCAGCAAATACACAGTAGCAAAGTCTTTTGCTTAATTCAGGTGGAAATCACGAATTGGCCAAAAGTAACCCAGCTAGTGGTCCTGGGGTTTGAATGCTCTTCCTTCTTACCAGCCTTCTTGATGGCTGAGCAGAGCTGGGCTCCCAAAGACTTTTCCACTGCTACTTCATGGCACCTCCTCCAGAGACACTCTGTTGAGGAACCCTGAGTAGCCCAGGCTAGTGGATAAGAAACAGTAAAGTCCACAGGGGGGAACACCCTTCTGTCAGCACTATGATCACATAAGAAGATTCCTCATAGAATTCAACAAACAAAATTCTAGCACTGGGCTGCTGAGGAGCAGGCTTTTCACTCCCTCTCACAGACCCAGGGCCTCCTGGAGAAACAAAGGATGCTTTACCTCTTCTGGTAAAGCCTCTATTTGAATTTACAGTGACTTACGTAAGAAGGCATCACAAATTTGAGACCTTAGGAGACTCAAATTTTGCAGCACAGAAGGGTCAGTGCATAAAAGGGGTGTGACAAAAATACTAAATATATAGCTACAGCAAGCCTGTGGTTGTTCTAATTCAAGCACAATTATGTTAGCCTAATTTCTCAGGGAGAGAAGATTTACACAAGTCTCAGTGGGCCAAATTCAAGGTGTTGGCAAAGGCTGGTGCCTTCTGGAGGCTACAGAATAGAATTTGTCCCTCTGCCTCTTGAAACTTATACAGAACACTGACATTTTATAGTTACTCCACATAGCGACAATGACCACACAATATTTTCTTACATCTTGTCACTCCTACACTGACCTGCCAGCTTCCCTCTTTCACTTGGGAGGACTCTTCTTTACAGGGGCCCATCCAGATAGGCCAGAATAATCCCCTGTCAGATAATTCAGAGTTTGAAATCTATGTGCCATTTTAACTCCTCCTTGCTATGTGACATAAGAGAGTCACAAGTTCTTGGAGTCAGGACATCTTTGGTTGTCACATTCTGCCTACCACAGTAGTAAGCAAATGTATGCTTCATTGCCCATTTTCCCTCTCTATAGTTAATATAAGACAGAGGGAGGAGTAAACTAGTTCTCCGTCTCATATTTTCACTGATATCAGGACATAGGTGTCAGCCTGAGAGTACCCCTCAGCCTCCAAAAGCAACCACCAAAGTCTTTCACCAAACTTAAAAACTTGCTGCCCAGATGAGTCCCCTCGTAGTCTGTTGCTTTTGGGTTCCCTGAAAGTCTAGAATCAGAGTGTATTTTCTCTCCCTAGCTCCTGTTTTTCCTGCCCTCCACTGGCTCCCTTCCTTCTCCACCTCTTTCCTTTCAAAAGGTCTGTTCCACACTTTCACTCATTGGGCAGTATGTTGCTGTGATTCACAAAGCACTGAGGATGTGTCATTTGCTGCCATCTAGAGAGTGCTCTCTGTAACCAATCACTTGAGGGTTCTTTTGCTCAATTCAGATAGAAATTATGAATTGGAAGAGGGTAACCCTTCTAGCGTCTCTGGCGTTTGAGTCCCAGTGGCTCTCAGCCCACTTAGTTTTAGCTCCCCTGGCCCCAATGCCTCCAGTTGACATTAGTTCATGCCAGACAGCATCAGTCTACACTACCATTTGTAGTTCCCTACCAGGGATGGTGGCTGCCGATTAACACCAACTAATGCCAGATGCAGTCAGTGAACTCTGCCAGTTGCTGATCTTTTTTTTTTTTTTTTTTTTTTTCAAATCTGTTAGCTGTTGATCTCTGCAGTTCTTTTGGGATGGTAGGCTCACATGTTTATAGCTCTTTTTTACAGTGACTTCACCGCTTAAGAATCCCGAGGAGATTTACAGGACCTTCTGAGCTGACACTATCCAAAGAAGTAAGTTTTGAAGTAGATTCACAGGACTACTGTAATGAGACTTTATTTGAACTGGGCCTGTGCTGCAGCATAGGAGGGTCGATGCATAAGAGGGGTGTGACCAAAGTGCTAAATGTATACCTACAGCAAGCCTGTGATTGGTTCAAATTCAAACCTTTAAATTGGTATCGGGCTGGTGAGATGGCTCAGTGGTCTAAAGCACCTACTTACAACAAGCTTAGCAAAGCACAGGGACCGCGGTTCAATCCCTTAGCACCACATGCCAGCCAGCCCTGCCCCCTGGTGGGCTGAGCTGGCCCCCCACACAAAATAAATAAATAAATGATTTTTTTTTAAAAAAAATAAATAAATTGGTATCAATTTGCCTGAGCCTACTGATAGATCTCATTTGATTCTCCTGATTCATTCAGTTAATTGGATACAGTTCTCTTAGGTGCCATTCCAGACCCCAAGACTCGGGAAGGTTCTAATGAATATCTCAAATTCTAATGTTTATATGGTCCCTCTAAGACAAACTCACTCTTGTCCTATTAGGAGGAGTGATTCCTTTTACCATATTTGCCTTACTCTGTACTTCTGTGTGTACTGCTCAATTCTTCATGTAGGATAGAAAAGGCCTGGAGATAGAGTGAAGCTGAGAAGAAAACAATCTTGTAACAGGTTCAGTTGGAAACTTCATTGGTAGTTGGACTAGAGGCCATGTGTGTCACACCCTGGTGAAAATGTTCTCTGCATTGTTCCCATGCCTGAGACTATCTGAGAAAACACATGTAAGGGCAATAGATGAATCTGGTGGAGGAAAGTCCAAGACAGCTCAATGTTGAGATTGTGGCATGAGTACCACCGGCTGCATTTACCATCTCTAGTGAAAACTGGGGGCAAAAAGAGATGTGAAAAGCTTGCAGCTTTATTAGAATTAGAAAGTAAGCTTCTGCAAAGTTGTGGTGGTGGAAAAACTTCATTTCTGAAAAGGTTAGTTTTAAAAAAGAAGCCAAGTACTTAGAAAAGATGGTTTAATCTAACCTCAGGTACAAGAGCCCACCCCCTCACAGGCTTAATGTTGAAACACTAAAATTTTTAATTGGAGAAGTTATGTTTTGTGTCTGGATGTCTCCCCAAAGCCTCAGGAGGTCATGGGCTTTTTCTGAGGTGGCTGAATCTAGAGTGTGTGTGATGCTGGGATTAAGGGTGTATGCTTAGGAAATCAGTCCATTGATTGGCTTAGCATAGTTTTGGCTATGATTTTTTTTTAAAGTTCTGGCTTAGGGGGCCGGGGAGATGGCTCAGTGGAATTAGTGCTTCCCTGGCAAGCACAAGGGCCTGAGTTCAATCCCTGGCTCTGAAAAAAAAGAAAAAATAAAGTTCTGGCTGAGATTAAGGATGTGAGGATTACACCAACCATAAGGCTGGTACCCTGCATACAACATACGGGATAGATTCTTGTCTTCCTTTCTCCTGTTGCTTTTTCTGTCTACTGCTGTAATGAAATATTACCCCTCTGCCATGTGCCACCCTGCGTTGGAGACAGCCAATATGGACTGAAACCTCTACAAAATGTAAGCTAAATAAACCTTACCTCCCTTTAGCTTTGGGTGTCAGGTATTTTGTCTCAGTAATAAGAGAAAAGTAACTAAGGCAGAATTTGTGCCAGGAGTGGGGTCAATGTTGTGACCATATTTGACCATGTGGCTCAAGAGTCTTTGGAGCTGGCTTGTGAGAAGGTGAAGAGTTAGGAAAGGCCCAGAGATGCCAGCTGAAAAAAGTAGATCTGGAGCACATGAGGCCTCAGTATCTGGAAGATGCTGGTCAGAGACTTTGATGTCATTGATGTAGTGTGGGGGTTACAGTGTGCAAAATGCAAAATTATGAGCATGGAAGCTTCCACCCAGGTTTTAGAAAAATGTTGGAGAAACCAGGCCAGATGCCCACGAAAGGGCAGAACATAAAGTTGTTAGAGTGAAGCTCAAAATTCAATGAAGACCACAGACGTTAGAGATGAAAGGAACATGTAATATCTACTGAGGACACTCACAATAATCACAGCCACCTCGTGAAAGAAGCAGCGTGGACTGAAATGACAACTGCACATGGGTAGGGCTGGCCAAGCCCTTTGGAGTTCATGACTCCTCACAGCCTACCCAGAAGTTCAATGCAGAACTACATGATTTAATGTTTCTATCACTGGCTTTGATCTGGCTTTGGTTAGAATCTTCTCTATCTCCTCCTTGCTGTCTTTCAAAATGGGTATATTGAAGCATCATTGTATGTTGAAAGTATTTGTTTTTCTTTTTAATTTTTACAGTAGCTCACAGCTAAGAGTTTGTCTTCAGAGTCAGGGGAGGCTTTGGCTTAGACCCTTTACCAATATTGGAACTATCAAGATTTTGGGGACTTTTAGAGATGGACTAAGTGCATTTTTCATAATGTAACAGACCTTAATGAGCCTTTTGAAGGTCAGAAACAGAATGCTATGTTTTGGATCCAAAATACCTCCTGTAGGGACCGGGGAGATGGCTCAGCGGAATAAGCACTTCTGTGGCAAGTGCAAGGGCCTGAGTTCAATCCCCGGCTCCACAAAAATAAATAAATAAATAAATAAATAAACCTCCTGTAATATCATGTGTTTGG